ACTTATACTGCAATGCAATATATGTACTATCTATAAGAGGTAGACAGGAAGAAAGATTCAATTCCCAATGTTAGTTAATAAGAAGTATTACAAAACACACTAACTGTGCCTCCATGGGCCAAGCCCCACTAAACTAGCTAACTAGCCAGAAAAATAATAAATTAAGAAATGAATCTACAAAACGCCTCGATAAGCGTATACTGTGCACAGTTACTTTATGTTCTCATCAAAATGATCACTTCTAGTTACTGAAACTAAAACAGCAGCGGTTACTTATTTCTAGATGATAATGATTACTGTCTATATAGGCAAAACAGATATATCTAACTGTGCCTTCATGGGCACCTGGTACTACTGAAAGAGCTGAGTTAGTTATTAATCGGTAGACAAGCCCTAATAAGCGTTGTTTTAAAAAGATTTGAAATTGATTGCTATCTATATAGATAGCAATCAATTTCAAATCTTTTTAAAACAACGCTTACTAGGGCTTGTCTACCGATTAATAACTAACTCAGCTCTTAGATAGCAATCAATTTCAAATCTTTTTAAAACAACGCTTATTAGGGCTTGTCTACCGATTAATAACTAACTCAGCTCTTAGATAGCAATCAATTTCAAATCTTTTTAAAACAACGCTTATTAGGGCTTGTCTACCGATTAATAACTAACTCAGCTCTTAGATAGCATTCAATTTCAAATCTTTTTAAAACAACGCTTATTAGGGCTTGTCTACCGATTAATAACTAACTCAGCTCTTAGATAGCATTCAATTTCAAATCTTTTTAAAACAACGCTTATTAGGGCTTGTCTACCGATTAATAACTAACTCAGCTCTTTCAGTAGTACCAGGTGCCCATGAAGGCAGATATATCTGTTTTGCCTATATAGTAATCATTATCATCTAGAAATAAGTAACCGCTGCTGTTTTAGTTTCAGTAACTAGAAGTGATCATTTTGATTAGAACATAAAGGAACTGTGCACAGTATACGCTTATCAAGGCGTTTTGTAGATTCATTTCTTAATTTATTATTTTTCTGACTAGTTAGCTAGTTTAGTGGGGCTTTGAGGTAGGTGCCCATGAAGGCACAGTTAGTGTTTTTTGTAATACTTCTTATTAACTAACATTGGGAATTGAATCTTTCTTCCTGTCTACCTCTTATAGATAGTACATATATTGCATTGCAGTATAGGTCAATTGAAACCATCAATTTGCAACAGTTTATTCAATCGAAATCATCAACTTATAACAATTTTAGATACTATCTTAGTCAATTGAAATCATCAATTTATAACAATTCTAGATACTATCTAACTGCTGATTATGTGTCAACTTATAACAATCTGGACATTATAATCATTTGTTGTGCATATCTCTATATTCCTTTCTGGCATATTGAGAGTTTTATTATGTTAATTTGTCTCTTTATTTTATTTTAATTATATCATTAAAAATGTTAATTTTTAACCTTATTCATTCTATGGCAGTAGTTCTCTTTTTCATTTTTGATTTAGTCCAGTTAGGGTTAACCCTTTCACTGCCTAGGTTGCATTACCATTAAGCTTCCATCCCTCTCTTTTCTATTGTATTATTGCTCCACTGGCGTCTCTGTTTTTAGTCATTATGAATGGACACGTGTAATTACGCTTCAATAGAAATTCAAAATACAGAACATAACTACTAAAAGCTGGATAATGTGAAGGAGACTAAAAAGGGTTACAATTCTTCTCGCCTCGAAGGAAAACAGATTTTCCAGATGACATGCATTAGGCCTGTCATTTATTGTAATTGTATTTTATTACGCTGCAACACTGCGTCCAGTTATAAAAAATAATCTAGGACCGCACAAGGTGGGTTTAAAATAAATCACAGTCACAAATGATAAAACTACTGTGGAACAGAGTCCGGTTTTGGGAATATCAGTTTCTGCCCTATAGTTTAACGTGCCCCCCAGCTAACGACAGCTGCCAGAATATTCAAACTACACCCATCACATGCAACAGAGTCTCCAAGCTCTCAAATATAAAGGAAGCGGTGATTAATGCTGTAAAATTATCCACTCCACATATGGCGATACGAGGCAGACAGTTGGGCTACATGCACACAAAAACATTAAGATGATTACCAGCCCCACGTGTAATAGTAGAGGGCCTCCAGATGGAGCCATGCCCCATGTCATACAAGCATCACGAGTGGCCTTTCTTTTGTTTTTACATTTCAGCTTTATTAATATTTTCAGTATCACAATCAAGTCGGTAACAGAAAAATATGATGCATATTTACAGCAATCCGAGGGAAAAGTAAAATAGAAATAGAATAAAATAGAAATTGGCAGAAAAAGATAAAGAAAAAAAAAAAAGAGAGGGAAGGTTTTATTGATAATCCTTTGAGCATCCCTGCTTTATTTCTCCACCAAGGTAAATTTGAAAAATGGTCTTTACTTTGCATGTATTTCTTTGATTTAATAGCTATTGGTTCACATCGTGGCATGGTAAAGAAGTAGTCCAAACATGTTGGAGGTTACGATGGCCCTCTATTGGGATGCTGATACAGTAATATTAATGTGTGGCTAATAACGAGTCTGTGATTCATTGCATGATCACTGTCACACCATTCACATATGACCTCCCAAGAAGAGACCTTATTTGTTGCAACTGGGTTCAGGACACGATCATTTACTGCTAAAATTTGTACATGTTCGGTTTTCTACTTTTAAATAAAATCTAAAAAGTGTGTCTCCCCCCCTGCCACCCCAACCTTCCCTCCTGCCCCGCCTTCTAAATTCACACACATTCACTGACAGATACACATACACTAGCTAACACACACACACTAACAGACACACACACACTAACAGACACACACACACTCAGTGGCACTCACTAACAGACACACACACTCACTTTTTATTTTATTTAAATTTAATTTAATCCCCCCAGCCTTACCTTTGGGAATACTGGGTGGGGTCCTCCCTCTCCCTGGGGTCTAGTGGGGCTGCTGGGCGGTCGGTCGGCACTGGCAAGGGAGCACTTTCCCCTGAGCTGTCTGCTCAGCTCCCTCGCGCGCCGGCTCCCGGCATCACTCTGCAGCGCGTAAGGGAGCTGAGCAGACAGCTCAGGGGAATGTGCTCCCTCGCCAGCGCCACCCGCCTGACCGGATTGTTAGTTAGCCGCAAGGCTAACAAGACATTTGCCCTGGGCATTTTGGGGCGGCTTTTTTTGCCGCCCCCTGGAAAATGCAATGTCCCTGCATACACGCATGTTATGATTATTATTTTTTTTTAAACAAATAAAGATGCACTACTTATGAACTACCGAGTATATATATAACACAATCCCCCCTCCCCATCTACATTTAACTGATATTGTCATTGTTAAAGGGATACTGTAGTGACAGGAATACAAAGCTGTATTCCTGGCACTACCGATCCCTCTGCCCCCCACCTCACCGGTTAATAAAGGGCTAAATCAATGCTTTCCTATTTGGAAAATATGACACTGGAGGTCCTCATGCAGAGTGTGAGGACATCCAGCGTCAGATAACGAACCAAAAGTCCGTTAAGATTCCGAAAGTTCCCCCAGTGACTGTCTGGAACTGCACTGTTTAACATTGCAGCACTAGGTGCAAAAGGGACACAGCACCCAGACCACTTCAATGAACTTAAGTGGTCTGGGTGCCTACAGTGTCCCTTTAATTAAACAACTAAGCCATTGGTTGGGTTATCCATAGAGTTGAAAACAGGACAGCAAATTTTGATAAGAATTTGTATTATTGAAAAAAAAGAAATGCAATAAATATGAAAATTAGAATGTTTTTAGGAAGTTTTATAATATTATATGGGTGAGTTAGACCACTGCAATGTATGATCATATAATGTAACTAAATCCCCATATTTTTTTGCCTAGATTAGGTGTTTTTAGAAAAAAAAAAAACTAATAAAATCTGTCGACATTAAAGTTGCTGTTTAGTAGATAGGAGAGTGCGCTGGATCTTGTGTGTGTGTGTATATGTATGTATATATAGAACAAAAACGTGAACTTGGCACTCACCCTTTGTAAACTATTGAAGTGTTCTTGCCTGGGTGCCTACCTCTGGCGTCAATAAATATAAAAAATATGAATAAGGTGCACTCGCAGGTCTTCTTAAATGCGTGATAATTTTATTCCAGCGTGCAAATTATTTATGCCACAATTTGATAATGATCAACGTTTCGACCCATAAAGGGTCTTTTTCAAGATAACAGACACACACACTCACTTTTTATTTTATTTTAATTTAATCCCCCCAGCCTCCTTACCTTTGGGAATGCTGGGTGGGGTCCTCCCTCTCCCTGGGGTCTAGTGGGGCTGCTGGGCGGTCGGTCGGCACTGGCAAGGGAGCACTTTCCCCTGAGCTGTCTGCTCAGCTCCCTCGCGCGCCGGCTCCCGGCATCACTCTGCAGCGCATAAGGGAGCTGAGCATACAAGATACAAGATACATACATACACATACACATATAACTCATTTTCTTATTATGCAGTTTCTCCTTAAGACAAGTTAAAGGGACACTAGTCACCTGAACAACTTTAGCTTAACGAAGCAGTCTTGGTGTATAGAACATGCCCCTGCAGCCTCACTGCTCAATCCTCTGCCATTTAGGAGTTAAATCCCTTTGTTTATGAACCCTAGTCACACCTCCCTGCATGTGACTTGCACAGCCTTCCATAAACACTTCCTGTAAAGAGAGCCCTATTTAGGCTTTCTTTATTGCAAGTTCTGTTTAATTAAGATTTTCTTATCCCCTGCTATGTTTATACCTTGCTAGACCCTGCAAGAGCCTCCTGTATGTGATTAAAGCTCAATTTAGAGATTGAGATACAATTATTTAAGGTAAATTACATCTGTTTGAAAGTGAAACCAGTTTTTTTTTCATGCAGGCTCTGTCAATCATAGCCAGGGGAGGTGTGGCTAGGGCTGCATAAACAGAAACAAAGTGATTTAACTCCTAAATGACAGTGAATTGAGCAGTGAAATTGCAGGGGAATGCTCTATACACTAAAACTGCTTTATTTAGCTAAAGTAATTTAGGTGACTATAGTGTTCCTTTAAATGAACAATACATCGTATGAATAGACATCAAGAAACAATTAGTACAGGTTTGTAACAATATTCTTTATTATTTTCTTCAGGTTTGACCATCATTAAAAATAACAATAAATTACACTTCCACCTGTACAGATGAGAATCTTGTAACAGACACAAAAAATAACCATTTTTTAATTTCCTAGGTATTACCTATGTAAGCATGATAAATAGGCTTTGTGGCCCAGTCGCTCCCTTGTAATGTATTCGCAATTTTTCTTTGCCATTTAAAGCAACATTGCAATTGTATTAACGTTTTAACAAATATACCTTGTTTGAATTTGCAAAAACATGTCATATTTAAAGGCTGTATTTTCATATCTTAAAAAAAAAAAACAACAAAAAAAAAAAAACTATTGCTACTTTGTGTTTTGACACTTCTACACATGTTCTTTAAGTAACCAGAGGTGATGCATCACATAATTATGATCAGGAAAAGTAATTCTGTGGATCCGCAGAGTAATTCTTTGCACACCAGTGTCTTCTAGTGTCATATGGAGCACTGTGGATAAGAGCAAGGGCCACCCAACAATCTAGATGCAAAATAAGTATTTGCCTTGATACAGGCCTTAAAGTCTTCAGCACTGAAGATAGCGTGTGGGAGATTTTGTGTTTTCAGTATTTGTGTAGAACAGATTGAAGTGGGCAAACAGTGCGGGGATATTGCAAGTTGACTCTAGCATGTGAGGTTTTGGGAGCTCTGTAAAGGCTAGATGACAGGCACAATAGAGAATGTAGAATCTTTAAAAGGAAAAGGTGTCCGAGGCTCAGCAAACTACTCTACTTGCTCTATGCTCTCCTATCTGCACTGAATGCTAGTGTATTGGATACTTGCAATCTCTACCCCCCCCCCCTCCCCCAACAACCACAATCTATTACTGCTGAAAGTTCACAATTAAAGGGGCTTTCCAGACTGCTAAAATGTTTTATGTATGTACAGTGTGTTCTCTTTTTTCAGGTTACAAAATGATGCAGATTTAAACAAAAATAAAATAAAAATTAACCTTGTTACACCCCAGCTGTCAGTCAGAAAACCAGCCATGTTATTTACTGGTTGTTTAGCTCAGCTATACTCAAGAGACAGGCAACTGCTTAGAGCACCTCTCTGGCAAAGATTTCTCATTGATCTGCATTGTGAAGTCTGTGATTGGACAGCCACAGAAAATCTGGGCTTTGGAAGAAGAGGAAGGCTTACAAAAGATCTGCAGCTATTGTAAGCAGTTTGTTTAGACATACACCAAATGAACGATCCATAGTTAAATACAGGTTTTCATTGGGGGTGTATCTATTAAAACAGTGATTTATTTTTATTTTTGAATTGGGCAGTGGAGTGTCCCTTTAAATAATGTTTTCTAAATAAATCCCTATATCTTCCCTGACATACTCAGTCAGGGTACTATAATGATTATAGTACACATTCAAGGAAATGCAGTTCTCTATAGTAAAAACTGGGTTAAAATGCTTGCCAAGACTGACTGCCAAAGATGCTAAAACAGACCGATGCCTTTTAGGAGTACTGAAAAAACAACAATTAAAAAAACTTGTTAAGGGGGACACTCCAGACCACTTCTGCCCATTGGAGTGGTCTGGGTGCCAATTCCCACTACCCTTAACCCTGCAACTGTAATTATTGCAGTTTTCATAAACTGCCAAAATTACATTGCAGGGTTAACTCCTCCTCTAGTGGCTGTCTACTAGACAGCCACTAGAGGGCAATTCCGGGATTCTAGCACAGGTGTGCTAGAGCGTCGCTGGACGTTCTCACGCTATGTGATGACCTCCAGCGTCGCTAAAATCCCCATAGGAAAGCATTGAAAAGCTTTTTTAATGCTTTCCTATGGAGAGCTCTACCGGCATTGCCGCGCATGCGCATTGTCTCCTCAGCCGGCGGGCGTGATCAATCTCCCCCGCTGGCTGACGTGATGAAGGGGAGGAGCGGCGGCGGAAGCAGCAACAAGAGACATTGTCGCTGACTTTGGTAAGTAACTGAATGGGTTTCCACCCCTTCAGCAACCGGGGATGGGAGGTGGGAGGGAGAGGGGACCTGCAGTGCCAGGAAAACGGATTGTTTTCCTGGCACTGGAGAGTCCCTTTAACATTCCTGTTCTAATGCATAGTAGGTGACATGCCATTGAATTTTACTCTACAGCTCCTGGGATGAAAGTAGATGCTGTGCTGTACCCCCTAACCCATGGACTGTTAGCAGTAACCAAGTCCCTTAACAGGCACCTAGACAGCCTTGCTCCTCCTTCCCTACCCGTCTCTGTTATGTGTTTGACACAGATAGTTGCGTTGTGTAATTTTTTAAAAACACCTTACGCCTAATGAGTATAGTCTTTACATATTACTTTAGGAGCAAGTTGAATTTAAACAAATTGTACAACTATCCATATCATACACTTTATGGTGACTAGGCATATAAAGGAGCAGTGGGGCTAATTAGGATCCTGTTGTCAGCGTACCAGTAAGATACCATTTAATAAGCATTAACAGTGTGATTTCCTGTTTGAAGATACCACCCCATAAGGGATATTCCAAGTAGTGGGTGTTTTTTTTATTTAAATTTATGTTACATTTTCCGGCATATTTTTAAAATTATAATTTCCATAATGAATAAGAGCGCTTCCAGACTGGGTAATCGGCTTGTTAATTAATGCATCTCAAACACTATAGAGTTAGGAATACAATGCGGTTTAGGCCCTACCGGCAGGGAATGAAATAAAAAATTAAAAAGGTATTTTAGTTACCTTTTGTCCGTTGCAGCACCGGCCTCTGAGGGGAAGTTCCGCCACGTAAGAAAAGCGTTGAGAGGCTAGTGTGCATATGCCAAAACATGCCGCGATGGTCTCTCTGAGACCATGTGATAGCAATAGCAAAAAATTTTCCTATCATAACCACTAGAGGAGTTTAAACGCTGCAATGAAAACATTGTGGTTTTGCAGGACAGCAGTGTTTTCAGTGACAAGGTTATAATAGGGGATACAGGACACCCAGACCACTTGATTGTGATAGGTGACTGTAGTGTCTCTTTAAGGGTTGAAGAGGAACCTTCCTCAGAGTAGAAGGGGTTTAAAAAAAAAAAAAAAAGTCACCCTACCAGCTTTGTTTGTTAATAGAGATGGTTGTTAATCAGTTTTGCGCAACTGGCTTGAAAGGAAGCAAACCTAGAAATGTTACGGTTTTCACAATAGTTCTGTACTCCTGACAGAATTATAAAATGAGATTTAAAAAAAAAAAAAAAAAAAATTAAAAGCCGACACATTCACTTTAAAAGGTGAAGCTGCAAGCTTAGAGCATTTCAATTATATAATTGTTTTCTTTCAAAATACATGAAAATGTAACCCAACATTCAAAAGCTGCATTTACTGTGTTCACTCATACCAAAACAGCCTCTTCCAAACTAGAACAGACAGAGTTAGATTCATTGAACGTTTCGTGATGCAGTGAACCATGAGATGTATTCACAAAGGGATAAAGCTACAGGCTAAAGCATTTTGGGTATCTTACTCAGGCTTATCCAGTTCCTACGCTTATCAGATGGACTGCAAGCAGAGGATTTAAAAAGTACCAACACAACAGAACAAAATTAAATATTAGAACCTACAGAACACTTTTAAACAAATACACTAGGAGCTTAATTCACTAAAAACAAAAGAGAACGAAATTGCAAAATTAAGGTAAAAAAAACGCTGGTATAGAAATATTGCCCCACTCAGCTATATTAGCCAGAATTTTTACATTTAAAACTATTCTGAACATTATTTTGTTTAGGTTGTTCCTCATTAAGCCAATTAAAGACAAATGATTCACCAAGACTCGCATGTTATGATGGGATTTGCAGAACTCCTGATAATTAAATATTACATAGTGACTATTTTATAGCTGCCAACCCGGCATTCGTAATAAATGTACCAAGGTGCAATCAATCTAGAGTTTGACTTACCAAATTATTCTTACATTTACTAAACTTTTCTTTCTGGGGCCCAGTTTCACTACCGTCCACACACCTCTCTAGCGGAGATCCCTATGCGGTATTAGTCGCGTGGTACCACATAGGGCATTGTAAGGCTAATGCATCAGTGCTAATCAGTATCTCATCAGAGATGTATTGAATCAATACAGTTCTATGTAAAGCTGAACATTGGTCCAGGAAATACCTCTACTGGCAGCCATAGGCACTAATGAAAACACCACCGTTTCTCAGAAAAAGGCAACATTTCTACTGCTTAGCCTGCAGCAACATGCTATATTTAACAGAACCACCAATGCAGTGGTTTTGGTGCCTATAATGTCCTTTTACAATCTCAGTTTAAAAAGGTGTAATACATGAGCTGAAAGGCAAGATAAATTAATTTGAGTGGATCTACAAGACTTTACTTCATTTCCGATCTAGACTTTTCCTATCTGAAGCAGAAGGAATCATAAGACAGTAAACCAATTTGCATAAAGTGAAGCAATATATGAAGATTTCAACAAAATCATATATATCAATAGTGTGCAACTGCATTAATACATTGTAAAATATCAAAATCAGAAACTCTGTACTTTGTCTTCAATCACCAATGACATTACATAAATTGTTAGTCCATCAATACACCATTTTCAGCATTAACAGGAATCTGTAGAACTGCTGCCCTCTTATGTAAAAATAATTTTCAAAAAAAAGTTCAAAAGAGATGATGGTTTAGAACATCTTTGGTCACCAAATATTTAAAGGAAAACTGTAATATATTTATAACAGAGGTTAAATCAAACAAACTGCAATCGTTTACTGAAACAAAAATATGTACTATTCAGGTATGACGTATAACACCAGCCTTCACCTTCCTTACCTACTACATACATTTTAGGATAATATTTCATGGTGCCCATGCAAATTTAGAAAGTTTACAGCAAGCTTCACACAGCAAGCTGAAACCGGGAGAAAAAGGAGTCTGGTTATCTGCAATGTAGATGGAACACAGAATATCTGTTTAAACGTAAGACTAACATTTGTAACAAACGCTTCGATTACTTCTAGGAGGTTAATATAAAAAAGTAGTGTATAAATGCATTACAGTTTTACCTTAAAAAACTTAAAATGCTAATAAAAGTTTAACCATTAAGCAGCACGCTCCTGTGTGGCAAGACAGGTCCTACTTACATTGTGCTTCCCAAAATATTAACAGAAGTATAAATGAGATGTATGTTTTACAAAACATTTTGTTTTGGGAAACTGGTCTAGTGTTCTAATTAATTTAGGAGAAAAGGTTTTGTACAGGCAGCAGACTTGGCATCCTTTAGTTTGTAGATGACCGATCTTTATTTTGAACTCTACCATCCTGTAGTCTCTTTGTCAGTGTGGGAAACGGCAACACCAAAACAGCTTTCACCCTTAGTAAAATATCAATGGGGCAAAATATCACAGGCTCACATAGTCTGCTTTTACATTCATAAAATGCTGTCTATGTCAATATCAATACAATAATGATGCCAGATCAATAACCCCATAAAATAATCCTCTGCTGAATTAAAATGCCATTACCCAACACCACCATAGATTTTAAAAATATAAAGTGTTTCTTTAAAAAGAACCCACACCATCAGATGATATGACTTTGTCCATAGTGTTTGAAGGTAGATCTAACAGTATGAAACCAAAGAGCCATAGACAACATAAAATAAACAGGTTAGCAATCTTTTGTTCACCAAGTAGGCTATGGCAAAATAAATAGTAACAAATATTTATTGCAATAGCAGAACAGACTTGTTCCCTCCCAGCTCAGCAGTTTCTTTTGGTTTGCGTCCAAAATTAGGACACTTGACATGGAATATATATTTTTGTCTCCCTACTTAAAATAAATGCAAATATAAAAATTTCACAAAACACTAGCTGTTAGTACATTCACTAAGATGATTACTCCAATCATCAGAAGCAGTAGCTCTCTGTACAACTGTCCCTTTCTTGGTGGGTACAAACTGCTCTTTATAATCTCCTGTAGGTATAAGAGAGCCCCCTGCATTCTTGTGTTGCTGAGGCATTGCTTGCGTGATGCCCACAGGTTTGTTTTTTGATTGCTTTATTGGTACAGCAGGATCACAGAAAGATGGGTATAGAGCCAAGTCCCTTTTCTCTTCCAAAGGCAACACAAGAGCAAGTTTCTTTGTAGTGTTCTCTCCATAATAGTGGTTAGAGTTGGATACCTCTTGGGATAGCTTAGTGTTACATTGTAAAGTAGTGTTGGTTATTCTTGTAATTGGTTTGATACGTTGTGACACCTTTTTACTTAAGCTTGGGTTTTTAGAATTTCTGCTATAACCCTGCTTTGAAAGTACATCTGAAGTACACCTTTCAAAATTCCCAGCAGTCTGAATGTCCTGTGTCAGACAATTACGCTCATCCCATGCACCCTCACCTCCCTGGGAACATGCATCTCCATAACTCCAATGATTAGGACCATCTTCCCAATTGGCTGAGTGATCGTTGGATGGGAGGCCAGCTCTAGACAAATGGAGACCCCCAAGTTCAAGCTCCATATTTTCTGTGTCAAGAGACTTGCTTCTTCGGTTAAGCGAAAGCGGCACAGGCATTGAGGGAATCAACTTATAGTGGTCAAGGTGACGGGGAAGACTAGCTACTCCCCAGTTGTAGCTGTGGAAAGGAAGATGGGAATCCACTTGAAACAACTGTTCTTCACAATCTGCTAAAGATTCCTGAACATAACTGTGATCAAAAGTCTCAAATGATGTATCGTCCTCTTCATCTGGACTCAAATCTATTTGCTGTTCACATTCGCCTTCATTTTCAACATCAACAATGTCAAAAGTAACCATGGTCGGAAGAGAATCGAGATTGTGATGGAACGAGGAGCTAGAGCCAGTTCTTCCCAAGCGTTCAGATATACTAGAAAATAACATTCCATTGTTGAACTCCGAATTGTTGAATTCTGCAGCATCCTCACATTCATTTTGTGTATTGTATACAGTATCAAATACATTCTGGACATGGTGCATAGAGGGAATCTTAAAATTTGTAAAGTTATCAGAACTTGATATTCTGGTATCATCCTGATCTTGAGCTTCAAGGCTATCAACATTCAACTCAAAACCAGCATCATCCTCGATAAGGCAGTTACCCTCTAAATGTTGACTATAACATTCCTGGGATTTAGTGTGTGTAAAAGAATTCTCTTGGAAGTCTGTCCAGCTTTGATGATCAGTCTGTACATTTTGAATTCCTTTGCCGATTGCATCTTTGTTTGTATTTTGCAACAATGCTAGATTGCTACCAAGGCAACTCATATTCCTGTCCACTAAATTAGCAGTTCTGTTTTCACATTCAATATTCAGCTTTTCTTTGCAAAACAGATCAGCAACTGGACCTTCCATCTCTTTTAGTGCTGCCTCTCTTTGTCGTTCCCAAAAGAGAAGCTGTTTTTGAATCACTGCAAGTCTCTCTTCTTCTGTCTCTGTTGCACCCCTTTTACGTTCTGCCTTCTGAATTGAGCCACTGTCTGCAGGAATACCAAAACCAAAAAACTGATCAAAAATTTCAGAACATGATGTTTTACTTTCATATAAAGACTCACCACCTGGTGCAGGACTCATTAGATTGTCATCAGGCTCATAAAACTCATAGAGTGCATCTCCACTGTAGCTATCCCTGGGTAGCCGCTCCTTCTGAATGAAGCCTTCCCCAGAATCGTCTTCGGGACCAGGTGTCGTAGAATCATAGTAGCCTTCATCACTATTTGGGGCAGACTCTTGCTGATCACTCTGTGGGGTCAACAACTCTGTGTTGCACATAAGTGCTCTATCAAATGGATCTTTAACATTCAAAGGAAACTCACTAGCCTCAAGGGGATTAAAGCTTTTAGAATTCCCTTCATTTTCCTTTTCTTGGTTCAGTTCATAGTTTGCTTCTGCGCCAGTGGAATCCTCCAAAAGTTGTTGGAGATACTCTTCTTCCATGTCATCTGGTGTTGCCATCTCTTCCCCGCCACCCTGGTAGGTCACGAGGCAAGAACTTCTCTTTGTTATTTCCCGGTTTCGCTCCAACGTGATTGTGTTGTCACTCATGTGGTCAATTTCTTGATCTGCAATTATATCACCACAGCCAGTAAGAGAGTCAAAACTTTTGAGTGAAGAAACATCTTCCAGCATGAGGCTAATTTGATCACCACCTGATAGAGAATCTCTGGTTGTGTGATCGGTATTTAGTACCTCTAGGAACACCTCCTCAGGACTTGCACAAACTGCAGAATTGGTTTTCAACTCAAATGAACTTTTTTGGTCTACCGTTGCATCTAGATTAGCTTCCGAAGGTAAATCTGTGGGTTGAGGCACATCTGAGAAGTTCTCAGAACATTCAACTGTTAATTCTTTTTCATGGATAGCATCAAGGTAATTCTCTGAAGGTACAGGGTCAACAGAGCCCTCATTATGTTTATCACTGGCACTATCCTCATTTGTGTATTTGATGGTCACTTTTTCCAAGATGATAGAAGGGGGGATATTGTTAGAAATCTCACTTTTCTCAGAATCTATGGCTTTGTTTTTCTTATGACGACGAATGCTACTAAATAAACCCTTTAAGCCCTTTTTTGGTCTGGGAAAGGACAGAGATTTCTCACTATTTAGCTTCTTATCAAAGCATTCTGTGCTGCCTAAGGGGGATGAATCATGAAAGTTAAAATCAAGCTTAACTGGGGAAGTAATACCAGAATCTGCACTCTGAGAGCTTGGCAAAGTATTTGTAAACTTTGTATGTTCATGCATGTGGAACCTTTGAAAAGAACTCTCTTTCTTCCCATCTTCTCTAGGTACATCACTGAAGCCATCATGGGTTTTGCTTTTGCTTAATCCTTTTTTGGAGCTTCCTTTGCTCAGGCCTTTGTGTTTTCCCCCAAAAAAGCTCGGCAAAGTACAAATGCTCTTTCTGCCTCCAAAGAATTTAAAAGGAGACTTCTTTTGCTTAGCTGAAGTTTGTTGGTCCAGAAACATTCCAGACTGCCCAAGAGATGTTTCAACTTTTTCGGAGTCTGCATCATAGCGAATACAATCTGCTTTTTCACAAATGACAGACGCTAGCTTTGTGCCAGCAGTTTCTCCTTGGCACTCTTGGCCAGCTTCCATTGCAACTCTCAAGCATTAAAACTATGGGGACAGTTGATAGAGCAGCAGTGGTACTAAAGTCTGGTTAGCGTAGGTAAAGAGACCTTCCACCTAAGAAGAAAGAAGAAAAAAAGGAAAACATTTAAAAAAAACTTTTCAAACGCATACTGATGAAACAAAAGAATCTTGTAGCTCTATGTTTTTATTTACTTATTTACCCAGTACAAAAGGCATAAATATGTATAAAAACACACAAGGAAGAAATATTGACACAAAGGGCTAATCACTTAACTGTGATTAGAACAATAATGAATTGCAAATTTTAGGCCAAAGCAAACAGGGAAACATTTGTCAACATTTGTAAATCAATTGCTAATTCTCCACAATTCCCAGTATAGTGATGAACTAGAGTGAAGTTCTCAAAAATATATAATAATAATAATAATAATAATAATAATAATAATAATAATAATTCCATACAAAATATACATGCTAGGTAAGCATTTTTAACATAGGGGGTATGTGGAATATAAGTACTTGTAATTTTAGTATGTGGCTGCTGAAACTTTCCAAAAACCAGAGTCTCTTCTTTTCTGGTGGTATGGTTGATGTAAATAGTAGGATCAGGGAACATTTTTTAACATGTTATTCTTAAGTCTGCACGCTAAGTTTGTCCTTTCATTGTGGTTATATTTGCTCCATTTATTTTATATAAACAAAAGCACATGCATTTCATAGGCATTAGAATAAAAAATGTATGCAAATAAATAAATTGAAGTTTTATGTGGACAATACTTTTTTCCACTCCAAGATGAATACTGTGATAACACACATCACTACTAGTAGATAGGCATTAAAACATACTGTTACATGTATTATTATTATTATTATTGCCATTTATATAGCGCCAACAGATTCCGTAGCGTGTTACAATATTATTAGAGGTGGGATTTAACTATAAATAGGACAATTACAAGAAAACTTACAGAAATGATGGCTTGAAGAGGGCCCTGCTCAAACAAGCTTACAGTCTATAGGAGGTGGGGTATAAAACACATTAGGACAGAGGATTGCAGTCAGTTCAGAAATAGCATTACCATAATAATGTAATACTCTTCCTACAGAGAGCAGTTCTTACTGATAGGGCCACTTTCTGCCTCCACATTATCTGTGTCAGAAAGAAGGTTAAAGTAGATACGTCCCATTTTAAAATCCTTGGCCCTCTGGGGGGCATCCATCTAAATTGGATTAGCTTGACTACTCCTCCCCATTAATTTACATCTCCAGTGTGATAAAGCAGATATGTCCTGGCAGAGTCAACAAGCACAATAGTCAATGAATAATGCAGAATTTGCCACACAATTCATTTTTGCAAAATAAAACTGCACCTACGTCCCACCAAGGAGATACAACTTCAGCAGTAAGCCACATGAATCTACTCATGGTAAATATTTACCAATTTTGGGATTGATAAATATTAAAAATGTTATGTATATCTGAAGTATTTAGTTGTGTGCATATATGAACACGAACATAAAAAAATATGTATTTTAAAAACTACCTTTAACATTGTTCATTATATTAGTTAAGTAGGTTCTATCTACATACAGAAATCTGATTTGTAATGGATTGAAAATGTCACATTTAAAATTATTGCCATAAGAGGTTTTTATAGGGAGGAAGTGTAGATTCCTTTTTTTGAGATCAGAAGGAAGAGTGGCAGTATGATAGCTAGGAACTTTTTAACAAATCTTTGCAGTTCTGATCAACTATAGAGAAAGGGATAAGAGACCCACGTGTAAAAACATAAATTGCTGTAGAGTAAACCAGACGGTGTGTATATTGTATGGCTTCTATTTGCATATCTCGTGGGATGAATGAAACTTCACTCTGTCCACTACTTATCACATAAATCACTGTTGGTTTATGGGATACGAATAAAAGGGAATGTGACATTCCTGCCCTAAGTGTCTGTTCCCAGTTAGGGAGTCTGCCTGTAGCTGCAGGTAGTTTTACACAGTGAAGCTACAGTGCTAGATTTGCACTGTTAAAAGGGACACTATGAAATGGTCAGGGTGCAGCGTCCCCCTCCCCTCTTTACCGGTTTAAAGGAACACTTTAGTGTTTGGCTGCGTAACTTGCAGGTAGGATTTTAAGGACTTTGGAAAATAATTTTGAAAATCTAGTGACATTTATTTATTTGTTTTAACTACTTTGTCCAAGTGCGCCAAAAAAAAAAAAAAAAATGATCCCAGGTCTTCCTTTTAATGTACCATTTGAATGTGTTAGGCCCTATTCCAGAACCTTTATACATTCTACTGATAATAAAAGGTCAAAATATTGGCTAGTCACTCACTGTGCCCCTCTGTTAAGAGCACTTCACAGAAATTGAAAGCAGAGCTAAATGTCATCTCAGGATTTCACATTCAAATCTGTATTGTAAAATGGATTATACGCCATTCCTGTGATCAATAACGTAAAATAGAAAATGCTAAGCTGCATTTGGATCTTTACATTAAAACGGCCATGTCAGGAATCAGAAATCACTTAAGTTGTTTTAATTAATTTATGGTTCAATAAACACTTAGTACATGGCTCCAGTCAACCCATTACAAATACAGTGACTTATTCAGTGAGGGGATGGACTTTCTTTTTGTAAGTCATAGGAGACATACTGTAACGGTGACCCTGAGTTGTACAAAATCTTATCCCAAGTGATTTCACAAGATCTCCCAAGGCTTTCTAGAAAAGAGTTTGTACCACAGAAGCATGAAGTGTGAATGTTTGCACCATTATTGAAGGAAAAAAAAATAGTATAATATAAAATACATGACCGAATCATTAAAAACAACTATTCTGAGACTTAGAATTATTTATCTCATGCTTTTCATGAATGAAATACATGTCTCAATACAATTTAAAGGGATTATATACTCCAAGTCCTCCCTTAATCACCCCATAACACATTGATGATAATGAAACCCTTGGTGTTTTTTTTCCCCCAATATGTGGGAATTAGTTTCTGAAATCTATTTAAAATTATTTTGGAAATTAATATGGGTATTGTACGGAATAGAAACAAAATTTTAGGTAATAAATTCATCTTCACCGAGTTTATGCGGCCTAACCAAGAAGTTCCCCTCCTCTTCCATTGTTGTACAGTTTTATGTAAACCAATTAATAAACTACCTAAATTAGTCCCCACCATTTTTTGTTTGGAAGTCGCCAGTTGAATACTGAAGTATGTAAGTGTATCCTTTCTCCATTCAAATGGATATGCTGCAGTTAAATGTTCCTTGATTTTACTTGGTAATTGTATTGGCAAAACCTGAGTCTTGACAACGTTATTTTTATGGAAGGAAACTTCCCCATATTGGTTAAGTAGTTCCAATATTGCTGGGAGTGAACTAATGGCTGGGTAACTAGGAGAAGGACATTGCCCGCAAAGAGAGCAATTTTTTGGGGACCAGTTTGTGTTTCAATGCCTTTTATTGCCTGATGTTGTTTTACATATTTGATGAATGGTTCCAAGGCTAAAATGAAAATCAATGGCGAAAGGGGACATCCCTGCCTTGACCCATTTGTTATAGAGAACTTCTGTGATGTAAACCCTGTGAGTAATATTTTCACTGTTGGAGCTGAATAGAATGACAGTATCCCCTTTCTAAGTCTAGCAGGTATTCTGAAGTTTTCCCAGTACCGAAGCCATGTATCACCAGTGTAGGCGGTCAAAGGCCTTCTCAGCATCAAGGGCTAATATGAGTCCTTATTTCTCCTCTCTTTTTATAATTTCTATTAAGTCTAAAAATCTTCTAGTGTTGTCCTCTACCTGTTGATACAAGCCTAGATAATTAGGGATTTATTCTTTGGGCCATAACTTTGGCATATCATTTTGTAACTGCATTAAGCAAAGATATTGGGCAAAGGTTTGGGCAGCTAGTTAGAAGTTTACCGGGTTTGGGTAATTCCCAAGTAATTCCCTAAACTTAATATAAAATGAGGAGAATCCATCAGGTCCCGGAGCTTTGTGTCTTGGAGTATTAAGTAATGCCATTTGAACCTCCTGTTCTGAAAACGGGATATCTAACGCCTTTGCCTCTGTTGAGTGTATCTGGGGCAAATTTATAGTTTGCAAGAATTGATCTATGGTTTGCTGTGTGGGTTGTATCACCTCTTTATTTTGTTCTAAATTATACAGTTGTTCATAGAAAACTGCACATTCCTCAAGCATTTGTATCGGGTTACCTACTCTAGTGCCATCTAATCTTTCCAAGTATTGAATCTTAGACTGTAGGTTTTTTTTTTCCCTTCAATTAAAAGGCCAATAGTTTCCCGGCCTTATTACCTTGTGAGTAATAAGTATGTTTTAATTTCCTCATTTGCCTCTCTGTAACCTGTAATTGAAACATACTCGTTTTCCTGGCACTATAGTGCCCTGAGGGTGCCCCCACTCTCAGGGTCCCCCTCCCGCCAGGCTCTGGGGAGAGGAAGGGGTTAAACTTACCTCTTTCTCCAGCGCCAGGCGGGGAGCTCTCCTCCTCCTCCATAGCGTCATCGGCTGAATGCGCATGCGCGGCAAGAGCCGCGCGCGCAGCCAGTCCATAGGAAAGCATTCACAATGCTTTCCTATGGACGCTAGCGTCTTCTCACTGTGAAAATCAAAGTGAGAAGCACGCAAGCGCCTCTAGCGGCTGTCAAGAGACAGCCACTGGAGGCTGGATTAACCCTAATATAAACATAGCAGTTTCTCTGAAACCGCTATGTTTATAAAAAAATAAATAAATAAAAAAGGGTTAACCCTAGCTGGACCTGGCACCCAGACCACTTCATTAACTAATTCCCTTTTAATTTTTATAAGTTTATCTAAAGCAGGGATTCCCAATTAATTTTTCCTGTGGAACCCTTTGACATAGTGTATCAACATCGTGGACCCCCCCTAATTTTAAAAAATATAAAAAAACTGCGCTTTTTTTTGTATGTGCCGGTGTGTCAAGATGTATATATCTGTGCTTGTATGTGCCAGTGTGTATGAATCTGACACACAGATACACACACTGACACAGATACACACCTTGACACACAGTGTGTATCTGTGTGTGTGTATGTATCTGTGTGTCAAGGTGTGTGGATCTATGTTTGTATGCCCGTGTGTGTGTGTATATATACACAGATACACACACACACACAGGCACACAGATACATACATCTTGACTCACAAATACGCACATACTCAGATACACAAACGTTGACACACATTCTCACTGACAAAACACATACACTCACTGACAAACACACATATACTCTTTGACAGACACATACAAACTCCCTAACAGACACATATTCAATTATTATTATTTATATTTTTTACATTTTTCATCCACCCAACCCCCTACCTTTAGGAGTGCTAGCATGGAGTCCCTGGAGTCCAGTGGGGATGCTGGACTGCTGGTGAGCAGTCCCTGGGGTCCGGTGGGGGTGCTGAGCGTCAAGGGAGCAGTTATCTGCTCACTGCTCCCTCGCCGTCCGCGGCTATTTTATTTTTTAAACTTTTGGTGGAACCCCAATTAGTGTTGGGTTCCGCGGAACACCAATTTGGGAAATGCTGATCTAGAGCTTTCTTACTATGGTTTTGTTTGTGTATAGCCACTGTAGCTGCCAATTCCTGTATAAGTCTATTCTGTTTAAAATTATACTATCTTTTTTGTTGTTGCGCCCCTTGTATCAATAGTCCGCAGATCACCGCTTTATGAGCCATCCACGTACTAGCAATAGAGGTATGTGCATATTGATTTTAATGAAAAAAAAATTAACAATGGAAGTGTGAATAAGTGCTACAACCTTTATATCTCCCAACAATTCCTCATTCAATCTCCATGTACCTCTGCCTCTTAATGGATATAAAGTAGAGAATATGGAGCATGGTCTGACCAGATAATGGGAGTAATTTGAACCTTTTTTAAACTGTTCAAAGATAAAGCATCAATGAGGCCAATATCAATACGCGAGTATCTGCTATGGACTTTTGAATAAAATATATAATCCATATCTCCTGGATATAAAGAGCACCATGTGTCACAGAACCCAAATTCCTCAAGAAGGTTTCTTAATTTGGAACTCATTGACATTTGGTTAAAGCTGGGACTTTTCACCCCTTTAGCATCCAACTGTACACAGAGAACACAATTAAAATTCCCACAAATATATACCTGTCCAACCTTAAGTTTTTCTATTTTGCCAAATGCTTTCCTTAAAAATTTAATCTGGTTAACATAAGAAGTATACAAATTTGCTATCGTCACCTCTATTCCATTAAGTACACCCACTAAAATTAGTATTCTCCCCTCGTACATGCAAACAACCAGTCTGCGTGAAATAATGTGCGAACGCCTTTAGTTTTATTTGAAGCAAAGGTGTGATATACAATAGGAAATTTAACTGAGCCAAAAATTGGTGGTTTATGTACAGAAAAAAAATGTGTCTCCTGTAAGCAGGCTATCACCAGTCCCTCTTTATGAAGTAATTGAAATATTAACCTTCTTTTATAGGGTGTATGAAGTCCATTTAGCTTATACAAAAGTAACAAACTCCTGAACCAGATTATCAAAAAATTATGCTTTTTTTTTTTATACATACTGAATGAATGCTTCAAAAATCTCTCACCTCCTTCACCCCATATCACCAACAACCCTACAGCGGTTATATAATACATTCTTTCTAGCACACACATGTATCATGACTTAAAAAAAAATAAAGAAAATGGTTTCCTTCAGGTAATTATTTGTTAATATTGTAACAATAACATGAGATTAAATTAGCACTAGTCCTTCTCGTAGGTCCTTGCTTCGGGAATTAAATAATCTGTAAACAGCCAACAGTAAGACCATGACTCAGACAAACATCAGGTAGGCAATAACTAAAAAAACTACAATCAAAGAAACGCAATAAAATAGCTGACAACAAGGGCTGTAATTTCCATGATTATATTAGTATTCTGCAGAGCTTTACCGTTTAATATGTGCAATCCTAACATTACTTACCATTTGAACGCACACTGTGCCCAGGCTGTCTCTTTATATTGAACTACCCACCATTTAGAAGCACACTATGCCCCGGTTGTCTCTTTATATTGAACTACTCACCATTTAGAAGCACACTATGCCCCGGTTGTCTCTTTATATTGAATTACCAACCAATTAGATGCACACTGTGCCCATCTACATTAGATGAAGGCATGTAAATCCCAGGCTGTGAGCATCATCTATTACCCGTATTATTAATGTGCCCATACCTGCAAGTTACTTAGTGGGTCCATTATATTTAAATAGTTATTACAGTGCATATGATAAATGTATCGTATAGTTATTAAAGTTCATATGATAAATGTATCGTATAGTTATTACAGTGTGTATGATAAATGTATTATGTTTATATAGTTATTACAGTGTATATTATAACTATTGTGTTTGTATAGTTATTACAGTGTATATGATAACTGTATCATATTGTATAGTTATTACAGTGTATATGATAACTGTATCATATTGTATAGTTATTACAGTGTATATGATAAATGCATTACGTTGGTATAGTTATTACAGTGTATATTATAACTGTATTGTGTTTATATAGTTATTACAGTGTATATGATAACCGTATATTGATATAGTTATTACAGTGTATATGATAAATTATATTGATACAGTTATTACAGTGTACATGATAAATGTATTGTATTGATATAGTTATTGCAGTGTATATGGTAAATGTATTATGTCTAGTTATTACAGTGTATATGATAAATGTATTATATTGATATAGTTATTACAGTGTATATGGTAAATGTATTATATTGATACAATTACAGTGTATATGATAAATGTATTATATTGATACAATTACAGTGTATATGGTAAATGTATTATATTGATAGTTATTACAGTGTATATGATAAATGTATTATATTGATAGTTATTACAGTGTATATGGTAAATGTATTATATTGTATAGTTATTACAGTGTATATGGTAAATGTATTATATTGTATAGTTATTACAGTGTATATGGTAAATGTATTATATTGTATAGTTATTACAGTGTATATGGTAAATGTATTATATTGTATAGTTATTACAGTGTATATGGTAAATGTATTATGGTTTTAGTGCAGAGTAGCAGTAAATCAGGTCCATCCCCCATTATTACACATTATCCCAGATAGGTGAAGCTGTGCCTGCTGCAGCCTGACACTGGACACTTCTTACCTCCATTCCTCCGGACTAGGCCCCGTGCCTGCGAGTTATCGTGCTCTGGCTGCCCAGGCCGCCCCAGCCCTGCTCCGCACACTGAGACTCCTGTACCACCTCCCCCCAGCCACCGTGTGACTGACAGCGCAACCAACCAATCAGCAAGCAGCCCCAGGCAGTAGTACGGAGAACGCGATCAACCAATGAAATAGTAGTAGCAGGAAGATGGCCAAAATATTCTACCATTGGCTCAGCAACTGATTGATTGCGGTATCAGCCAATCAGAGCGCAGAGCACTCACCCCCAGGCTTTATTTACTTCCTTTTAATGTGTATCAGTAGTGAATGCACAGTGCAGTGTGTCACAGAGCTCTTTGCTGGTATGTCTAGCCTGGTGTCAGTCACTGGCAGGGTGAAAGGAATAATAAATAAAGGGCAAGGCTTACCAATGAGAAATGGTACATTAGTTCAGCAAAGTTCTACATTTAGAGAAATCAGCAGAAAATGTCCTCTGATTATCATGTGATTGTGTCAAATGTAGTTTTCTGCTCTAAAACCACTCCAGCTGTGCTTTAATAAACCTGTCAGTGCAGTATCTGCAAATTCAGTGGTTCAAATTGTATCTAATGCTTAAACTAAATATACTGTCAAAACTGACAACACACCTCCACTAATTTGGTATCACATAGGGTTACCATATTCTAGAAAGTAAAAAAAAAAAAAGAGAACACCTACAGATTCTTGCAGGGTGGAATTTAGTCACAGGAGTGCAAAGAAGACCAAGGTGCCACCTCCATGTGTCTCAATTCCCCAGCCCCCCATGTGTCTCAATCTCCTAGCCCCCCCATGTGTCTCAATCCCCTAGCCCCCATGTGTATGTCTCAATCTCTATTTCATGTGTCTCAATTCCCTAGCCCCCCCCACCCATGTCTCAATCTCCTAGCCCCCATGTGTCTCCAATCAAAGGCTGGCCCCCATGTGTCTCAATCCCTAGCCCCCCAAGCGTGTCTCAATCTCCCTAGCCCCAATGTGTCTCAATCCCTAGCCCCCATGTGTCTCCATCCCCTTGCCCCCATGTGTCTCGATACAGCCCCATGTGTCCTCAATCCCTAGCCCCCCCACCCAGCTAATGTCTCAATCCCCTAGCCCTCCATGTGTCTCAATCCCTAAGCCCCTGTGTCTCAATCTCCCTAGCCCCCATGTGTCTCAATCTAACTCATGTGTCTCAATCCCCCAGCCATCCATCTGTCTCAATCCATCAGGCCCCCCCATTTGTCTAATTGTCTGAGTCCTGTTGTCCCAGCCCCCCCACATGTCTCATTGACCAGCCCCCAATGTGTCTCAATCACCCAGCCAAGGCCGGTCCAAGGATTTTTGCAGCCCTAGGCAAAAGAAGAATCCCCCCTCCCGCCATGTGACATCACAATGCCCCACCCATATGATCTGCCATCTTAGCTAACACCAGTGCTGCCTGCAGAGACAGGCTATAGACACCAGAACCACTTCATTAAGCTGCAGTGGTTCTGGGGACTAGAGTGTCCCTTTCATGTGAGGTAAATTAGAGATTAGTGCCAAGAATAATATACTAGATTGCCTACTAACAACCAGATGAGGATGATTATGGGTTCTAGCTGCAGTCGGGCTCCACTGGTCTGGTGTAGAACAGGCTCTCTGGAGGCTGTTTGTAACTGTGGTCACAAAATTCAAAGTTCTGGGAGAACGGGAAGCAGCTCCATTTTTTGGGGCCCCTTACACAGCTCAGGGTCTAGACCCCAGGGCCTGACGGTGAGTATGCCTATAAGACCCAGCCATAAGTCCACCTACATGTTCCACCCATGAGTTCGCTCACAGGGAGTGGAGTGTGTAGAGGATGTGTTATGTGTTATTGTAGAGGATCTAATGTGTGTGCTTATGGAATGTAGTGTATAGGGATACCAGTTTGTGTACGTGATGCAGTGTGTTTGTGTAAGGGATAGAAAGCAGTGTGTGTTTGTGTATAAGGGATGTATTGTGTGTTTTTCTTTTTGTGTCTAAGGGATGCATTGTGTGTCTCTGTGTATGTGTGCAAAGGATGCATTGTCTTTATGTGTGTGGAGATGCATTGTGTGTGTGTGTGCGTGCGTAGTGTGAAAGAGCTCCCTGCCCTGCTCTCTGTCATATAGAGCTCTCCCTTCTGTCCCTTAGAGGTCTCTCTTCTCCTCCCCTCCCTTAGTGGTCTCTCCTTTTCTCCCCGACTTTCCATTAGTGGTCTCTCGTCTCCCCCTTAGTGATCTCTGCTCTCCTCTGCCCCGTTTCCATTAGAGGTCTCTCCTCTCCTCCCCCTTCCATTAGTGGTCTCACCCCCCCTCCATCCCTTTGTGGTCTCTGCTCTCCCCCTACCATCCCTTAGTGGTCTCTGCTCTCCACCCACCCTCCCTTAGTGGTCTCTCCTCACCTTCCCCTCCCTCATTGGACTCTCCCCCCCACATTCTCCTCACCTCCCCCCTCCCTGTGTTTTCCTCACCTCCCCTCCCTGTGTTTTCCTCGCCTCCCCTCCTGTGTTCTCCTCACCCCTGTGTGTTCTCCATCACCCCCCTCACCTGTTTCCCTCCCGTTTGCCTCCTCACCACCCTCTCCCCTGTTTGGCCTCCTCCCCCCCCCTCCCTTATGGCTGTGTAGCGTTGCCGAGCTCCTCTCCAGTCTGCGGTACAGGAGTTTCTGTTTCCTGTACCCGACCGGATATGTCTCATCCCCAGCCCCCCCATGTGTCTCAGTGCCCCAACTCACCAATGTGCCTCACTTCCAGCCCCCCATGTGTCTCAATTCACCAGCACCCCTTAGTGTCTCCATCCCCCAACTTCCCCATGTGTCTCAAATAACCAACCCCCCTATGTGTCTCTATCATCAAGCTCCCCCATATGTCTCAATCCCCCAGACTCCCCATTTGACTAATTCCCCTTCCATGTGTATTTGTGTGTTGTATTGCTGTTTGAATGCTGGGATGTATGGACATATACACATTCACTGCCACACACAAATATCCTGACATAAATACACACACACCCACACACACACATTGACCCATTCAAACACTCAGTGATCCATACACACACACACACAAATACACACTGACCCATCCACGCTCAGTGACCCATATATACACAGTCACACACACACACAGTGATCCATACATACACACTAACTCCCCACACACAGTGACCCATAAACACACACTGACCCCCCCACAACCCCACAAACAGTGACCCATGCACACACACTGACCCCCCCACAAAGTTACAGGGCCAGCGCGTCCATAAGGCGGCACAGGCAGCCGCCTTAGGGCGCACCGGCTCCGGGGGCGCAAGATTTCAGTGACCGGCAGGAGGGAAGCTCTCCCTCCTACCAGGCCACCTTCTGGATCCCCGGCGTGGCAGTGCTGTGATCAGACGCGGCGAGGGAGCTCTAATCTCTCTGCTCTGCTCCCTCGCGCGCTGTCTGCTGATGCCGCGGGAGCCGGAATATGACGTCATCAGTAGGCAGCCCGCGAGGGAGCAGAGCGTGGAGATTAGAGCTCCCTCGCCGCCTCTGATCACAGCACTGCCGCACGCCTCCCAGCAGCCCCACTGGACCCCAGGGAATGATTCATCATCCACACCAGCTCTCCAGGTAGGGAGGCTGGGTGGAATATGTTTATTTATTAAAATAATTAGTGAGTGTGTGTATGCGTGTCTGTGTGTCTGTGAGTGACTGTCTGTGATTGAGTGTGTGTGTGTGTCTGTGTCTGTGTGTGTGTGTATGTGTGTGAGTGTATGTGTGCCTGAGTGTCTGTGTGCCTGTGAGTGACTGAGTGTGTGCATGAGTATGTGTGTCTGTGAGTGAGTGTGTCTGTGAGTGCTTGTATGAGTACTGCATGTGAGTGTATGAGTGTGGCAGTGTATGTGTGTCTGTCAGTGTGTGTTTGTGAGTGTCTGTCAAATCAGTGAAAGTATCTTTGTCATTGAGTCTGTGTGTGAGTATCAGTGTGTCTGTCAGTGAATGAGTGTGTGTCAGATCAGTGAGTCTGTGTGTTTGTCATTGAGTGTGTGTGACTGTCAGTGTGTATACACCACTGAGTGTAGCGTGGTGGAACACAGTACAGGAGCTTCTGTTTCCTGTACCTGGCCAGACTGACCGGAGGTGCTCACTGAGAGAGCACTCCCTGTCAGTCCAGCCAGGTACAGGAAATTGAAGCTCCTGTAGGGGATATCCTCCACTCGGCAATGCTACAAGAGAGGTAGGAGGCACCCCAGGAAGGGGAGTGCGACCACTAAGGGGGTGGGGGGTGCACCTGATGTAGAATTATTAAAATCTTTATTAGAACCTATATTGAATTATTGTACTAACTCCATTTTAATCTCACACTATGACAGAATTCTCCATTTTGTTCACCTTACACTAGTCACTCAAATCTCTGAGCCAATTAATAATATTAATGGGTGGACACTGACATAGCCACTTAACATTTAACCCAATTAATGATGTTTATTTGTTATTATCTGATATTCAATGATGATGTCATTTTGCATATAAAAAGGCCTGCGTGCCCGCTTTTTAACTAGATGCTAATAAATTTCCTGAAGTGTTTTTAACCTGAACTGCATGTGTCAGTGTGAACTTACTTCTGCGTATACGCAATTTATTCATCTCAGATTTGGACAGGAACAGATAGACTTTTAAACATTTTTGTTTATTTCTAAATTAATCTACATCAATCTGGCGTCCATCCAACGTGGGGCATCGGGCTATGGCCTCCGGCCGGTAAGCCGTCCTAAGGAAGACGCTGTTGGACGGAGGAATCGGGGGGGAAGGAAGAGAGACTGATCACCTCTGAGTACACGGTAGAGACTTCTGCAGGAGCCACCGGTATGTTCCAGCCCCTTTGATTGACCCGTCCACGTGTCTGTGACTGCTTCCCGGGAGGGCATCAAAGACAGGTAATATCTTGCCCGGTGTCTTGTTACCCATTTGTTTACCTGCATTTAGTCTGTTGCCTGGGTGTGCTAGTGGTATATGTTTTGTTCTTTCCCTCTTTTGGGATAAAGGGGGGTGGACCCGTGGGTGGTTGCCTGGGGGTCTTCTGTTGCCTGTTTTTACCCCTTTTTAGGAGTCACTTGGCCCAGACTGTTGGGAAAAAAGGGGGGGTGGAC